CAAAAAAAGTATGGTAGGATCAGTTCGGCACAGTCTGTGAGAAAAAGTTCACCATGATACAATTCATTCTGCCAGATATTTGGAAATGGCATGCTGTACTGCTTGGCATTCGCACCGGAAGCTTCAATACGAACATTTCAGGTTTTTCATTTCACGTGTCAACCTGAGAACAATGCAGAGGATTCGGAAAGGGTTAGATGAATCTAAAGGTAATTACGTAGGTGTTTCAAGTGATCACTTGTAATAGCGACGCTATGCCTCCATTCATCTTTCCACATGGCCTTAGACTCAACACAGAGGCTTGCATCAAGTGTCTTGAGGAGGTAGTGCTGCCCTGTGTCAAGAGGGTGGCTGTTAGAAGACCTTATGTCTAACAAGACTCTGCCCCATGCCACACAAGCAAGATAACTCAGTCATTGTTCTCAGATAATTTCTGCGACTACATCTCTATGTACATCTGGCCACCTAACTCCCTAGACTGCAACCCACTTGATTATTATGTATGAGGCGAAGTTGAGCGAGAGAAAAACGTCCTTGTAACACCAAAGATGAACTGAAAACAAGGACTACGGCAGCATTCACCAATTTAAACACGGAGACTATCCAGAAGATTCCGAATAAGTCTGGAGGCTGTGATTGAAGCCAACGGCGATTTTATTGAATATATTTACTCTTTAGTAATTCAAGATATCTTTGCGCAATTTTGGTAAATATATCTGTTAAAATGAGATGCCAGTGTTATTTTCAATTTTGCGCAATTTAGACAACAATTTATCCATCGCACCATATATATATATATATATAATATATATATATATATATATAGAGAGAGAGAGAGAGAGAGAAATATACGGGAAAATCAAACAAAAATCGTAATATGCAATTATGCTGTTTTAATGTTGCATATTAGGATTTTTGTTTGTTTTTTCCGTATATTTTTCTTCATGTCTATATCCATATATTTGCTTTTATATATATATATATATATATATATATATATATATATATATATATATATATATATATATATATAAGTCGTTCGGCAAAAGCAGCGTCCTTTTTATGTCGAGATGAGGTGAATAGGACGATGTGGAGCAACTGAGTTGACATTACTCTCACCAAATAAAACAGAACCAGAATTTTTCTTGTGAGGTGTACTGAATGATCTTGTTTACCGGCTCAAACTGAAAATAACCCCTGAATGAAAGAAAGCAGTTCCAGATAATTTTCTCAAATTAATGTAGAAATGTGTCAAATGGTTTGTAGAAGTTTTGTTGCTAGGGTTAATCGTTTTATTGAACATCAAGCTGGCCATTTTGAAAATGTTAAATAGTTTCTTATTCACAATAACAAGTCTTGGTGTTTTTATATGACAATATATAACTTATAAATTTTCTTAAACTCCTGTAATAAAACTAATAAATAAAATTATTTTTGTCGCACCATATATATATATATATATATATATATAATACATTTTTTTATGTTTATTCGTTCTATTAATAGATAGAAATATTTAAGTAAATGCTCTGTTTATAATAATTAGCATTAACAACATTTACTGGCCTGAATGCCGAAGAAATTTTCATAGAAAATATGCGTCCTCCGACAGGAATCGAACATGTATCCTATACGGAACCGTCATATAGCATACTGCATGATCTTCCGGCCCTTAGCTATGATTAATTAATATAATTTTCGTTTATGATCGATTTCATCGCGATACTTCATTTAAACTTAGGAAGTAATTATATATTCTTATTGCTCAAAGTAGAGTCCAATATTGTTCTAAAACCTACTGACAGCATGAAGAGGTTGGTAGGTATCCTGCAGTTAGAGATTCGTCTCCAGCCGTGCTGGTCAAAATCTCAGCCCGGGCGCAGAGAGGATCCCCAGATGAGACTATGTCGAAGGGCAGAATCTCGTCTTGGGAAACAGCTACCCGGCCTCATTTTATACGGGGTCTACCGGGAATTTTTAGCTGAGCCTACGGGCTCGGATACTCCACATTAAATTCGGCCTTGTGCCACATCTGACCGCATAGGGCGGTTTGTAGATATCCTGCAGTTGGAGATTCGTCTCCAGCCGTGCTCGTCAAAATCTCTGACCCCGGGCAAAGAGGATCCCCAGTTAAGGCTATATCGAAGAGCAGAATCTCGTCTCAGGAAATAGCTATCCGACCCCGTTTTGTACGGAGTCTATGAGGAATTTTTGGCCGAGCCTACGCTCTCGGATACTCTACATTAAATTCGGCCTTGTGCCACATCTGACCGCCTGAGTCGGTTGGTAGATATCATGCAGTTAGAGATTTAATATGTAATTCACTTGACTCAGTTCTAGCAGTTAATTACTTCTACGCGTCGCTGGTGAGTCTTATATGGTTGGTTCTTGTCCTAAGTATTATCATTCATTACCAACCACCGTGTAAATATTCTGTTCAGTAATCTTCCCTAGTTTACAACAATTTCCGAATGTCATTTTTCAAACCAGTGTCCATCGTGAGTTCATTCCCAAAATGCGAAAAGCTTACATAAAATACACTTGAAAAATACTCAGAGATCAGTAATAGTCGGTTTTAATTTGATAGGGTTATCTAGAATGTTTGTTTGAATGTTCTAGAATTAAGATATGTGGTAAATATTGACAAAATAAATAAACATGTGACGAAAGCTGACAGTTTAAGCAAAGGAAATTCCGCCTTTTTCTACGATTGAATCTAACAAAATTATATTGTTTGTGGTAGGCAAGTTACTATTCAACAATTTGCGAATATAAAGAAACCACTTTTTTTCGCTTTTCTGAAGCTAGCGAAGCTGAAGCCATAGAATGGAATTCAAACAACAAACTGATAACGAAATTTTACGCGTCATATTGTATCTTAAAAAGAATTGCTAACATCAAACGAAATCATATTCTTAATTCTGGTTCTGTAAGTGAATAAGGGTTTATTCGACTAGAAAGTTTTGCTTATCTTTTAATATTTCCAGCGTTTTTTTTTTCTATCCTTTTTATTGAAACGATTTAACTTGATTTGCATTCCGTTATCGTTATCATTGATTGATGTCTGCTTTCACTATAATTTTTTCAAATACTTCTGATGAATCCATTTCCTCTCCCCGCTATAGGTTAAACAGTAAGATCGTATCTACAAAAATCATTGTTATTCTAAAACAAATTATTAATATAACATTCCCTTGCAAAAAATGTTATAACTTGCGGAAGGAATTAAACTAAAAAAGGATGGCTAAATCTTAAAAAAAAAGACTCAATCAATCATTTATAAATACTCCAGCCACAATTGGTGCTGTTAAAATTTTCCTTGAAGTTAAAGATTTCGGAACAAACATGAAATAATATTGGCTGTTTTTGTAATATTTAAAAAGGATATATTGAATATTCCCAAGGGATAAAAGGTATTTCCCAAACAAAATGATTCTTTTTAATAATTCCTAGAAGAAAGAAATGAATTTGAACAACGCCTAGTAACTAAAAGTAAATCAATATCCGGAAGCCATTCGTAAAATATTGGCCAAAATGGATTTTTTAATGAATCAAATGAAGTGAGTAACATGTCTAAACGAAAGAGGTCGTCGTTTTGTCATTTCTATAATTCGTTTTCTCTTTTAGCTTTATTTTCTTCTTTTACTTTCTGTTATTAGTTAGACTTGTAATAGATAGATAAATAATGATTAAGTTAAATAGATATACAAAGAAAAACAATTGGGATACATAATAAATAATGAACAAATTGATAAACACACACATATGCACACACACAGACATACATACATACACACACATACATACACACACATACATATATATATATATATATATATATATATATATATATATATATAAAGAAAAAATTGATACAGATAGACGGAGGAAGAAAGATGTAATGAGCACATATACTCATTTAGATAAATAATGAACATATTTATATAGATTGACAGACAATGAACACATTTAGATTGATAGATAGATAGATAGTTAATGAACATATTTACATAGATAGATAATGAACATATTTAAACAGATAGATACATGATGAAAATATTTAGATAGATAGATAGATAGATAGATAGATAGATAGATAATGAACATATATACATAGATAGATAATGAACATATTTAAACAGATAGATACATGATGAAAATATTTAGATAGATAGATAGATAGATAGATAGATAGATAGATAATGAACATTTTTACATAGATACATATTAACATATTTATATAGTGAGACAATGAACATATTTAGATAGGTACATAGATCGATAATGAACATAGATAATGAGAATATTGACATAGATAGATAGATAGATAGATAGATAGGTGATGGACATATTTACATTGATAGATAGATAGATAGATAGATAGATAGATAGATAGATAGATAGATAGATAGATAATGAACATATTTAAAAAAAGATAGATAGATAAAGAACATATTTACATAGATAGATAATGAACATAGATAGATAGATAGATATAGGAAAATATTTACACAGATAGATAAAGAACATATTTACTTAGATAGATAGATAGATAGATAGATAGATAGATAGATAGATAGATAGATAGATATAGGAAAATATTTACACAGATAGATAAAGAACATATTTACTTAGATAGATAGATAGATAGATAGATAGATAGATAGATAGATAGATAGATAGATAGATAGATAGATATAGGAAAATATTTACACAGATAGATAATGAACATATTTACTTAGATAGATAGATAGATAGATAGATAGATAGATAGATATAGGAAAATATTTAAATAGATAGATAATGAACATATTTACATAGATAGATAATGAAAATATTTAGATATAGAGATAATGAACATATTTAGATAGATACATAGCTCGATAATGAACATAGATAGATAATGAGCATATTTACATAGATAGATAGATACATAGATTATAAAAATATTTACATAGATAGATAATGAACATATTTAAATAGATAGATAATGAACATATTTACATAGATAGATAGATAGATAGATAGATAGATAGATAGATAGATAGATAAAGAACATATTTAAATAGATAGATAGATAGATAGATAGATAGATAGATAGATAGATTCACCACCGCACATCTACACAATAATAAAAAAATTCATAATTTTACCCTCTAACTCTCTTTGTATAAAACTTGTAAATAAATTAGTTATTCCGAAAACTAGGATTTTTATCACCGCTTTCAAAACAATTGGATATACATTTTGAAAGGAGAATAAATCCAATAGCAATTCAGATGCGTGTATTTAGCAATTTAATAGCTTCCAATGTAAAAGAATTTTTTTCAAAGAGAAATCACGAATTCTAAAAGGCCGTTGGCACGAACATAAAAGAGATTTACGTTTAGACAACCATTCAATGTCTATCGTAATACATATAAACAAAACTGGCCATAACAAATGACACCCTAATTAAAAAAAGAACATAATTCTTTTCGTCGAAAGTACTTCGAGAGTCTACCAGTAACAATACTATCAACTATAAACACATGTCAAAAATATTACATTACATCGCCAACACTTGAAGAATCCATTCTTAAAGAATCGAACATATTTTTTTTTTCTAAAATGGTATGTCCCGGAAAGGGATATATTTGTTCGAAGTAGCAAAATGGTTGTTGACTACTGTAACCGGGTAGGACGATCTAGCAAGTAACCGTAATGGACTGGTCCTCGTCGTAGTGGTAGGCAATAGGCGTAGGCAATAGGCGAAGACTATAGGCGAAGGCAATAGGCGTAGGCAATAGGCGAAGACAATAGGCGTGGGCAATAGGCGTAGTCAATAGACGTAGTCCATAGGCGTCGTCAAAAGGCGTCCAATATGCGAAGACTATAGGCGTCGTCCTGTACCTCCATATCAGTCTGTATTTATGACTGACACCAGCCAATCATATTACTGTGAAGGGGAACCCAGGTGCATGCATATTCATTACATTATAAAACAACCAACGTTGACGTAAAAACGTTCCCAAATCAATATGCGAAAAACAAACAAACATGTCTAATAGACATACATACATACACGCACTTACGAAGATACATTACCACATAAACAAACTAGAATTGTTAAACTTACATAAAGCAATATCTACGCGTTTTATTTAAGTGTTGCAATCCGTTAATTTCTTGAAACTTCGAATTATCTATTCTATACCTGAAGATGTCTGTAGGAACAGACGAAAGCTTGTAGTAAAAATAAGAACTAATACGGCAGAAATTTATATAAACAAGGATCATTTCGTTCATAACGGATTCGGAGGTTTTTGTATATTATTTGAATTGTTTGCGATGATGGATGTCTTGCCATTTAAATCATTAACCTTTGCATTAGTTTTTGTGTGAATAATTCATGTATTTGTAAATTGATTGCACGTTTATCGTAATATATATATATATATATATATATATATATATATATATATATATATATATATTATATGTATTTAGACAGCAATCCTTAGTTCATGCCTTTTTATTGATTACAACAAAAAGTTTTTTATTTAGTTTTTTTTAAAATTTCTTCATCTAATTTTTTTTTTTTTCGGATGATAAATTATAAAAAACTGTCCGAATGTACTCCGAGCGCTTTCGGCTCATCTAGCCATTTTCAAGGATTAAATACTTTAACTGTTGAATAAGAAATTTTTAGTTGCATGTATGTTTTATAAAATGATTACATTTTTCAAAACACGGTCAAGATATTGTGTCCATATTCATAGTTGATAATATCAAGTCTTGTTTTTTTTTTCTTTTACTAATAAGGCTTCCATTATTTTTAGTCTTTTTTTTAATCATCTAGATGATGCTATTATATTAGTGTTGTCAACAATATGTTACGAATAGTGTCCGGTATATCTCCATGAATATTTAAATGAGATCTAATTGAGCTATGGTCAGAAAGGTGTAGAGTGAGTCTGCGTGTCAAACATGTTGTAGTGTGGCCTATATACTTATTTATGAATTTTGATTGATCAGGAATATAATTCCTTAATGGCCATTTAAATTCGTAAATAATATTTACACTATTTAATTTTGTTCTAAGAGGCGAATTATTATATTTAACTATAAGTTTAGAGGTTTAGAATTTTTTTGTACTAAATAATTAATCTATTTTTTTTTTTACTATTGTCAACTGGTGTTATGCTTTTTTTATAATGTTCTTAATTCTACTTTCGTCTTGTTTATAATTTTCGTTCATTTGATTTTTATAAAAAAATATTAATATTATTGTTTATGTTTCTATTCTCGCCGTTGCTATTAGCTACCTTAGACAAGAAACGCCTTATGTGGAAATCCAACAATTGATTAGGAAATTCGTTATTAATCAGTGTTTGCTTTACATTATTTAATTCTTTAAAGAAAAGCGTGCGAGAGGATGAGTTCTCGTGCTCTCTCGTGAGAAAATTTTTAATAACACCTATTTTATATCTAAGAGGGCATTCACTAGAGAAATGAAGATGGCAAGAATCTTTACTAGTTGTTTTTTATAAACAGAAATTTTAAAAGTATTATTACTAAAATCGATGAGAACATCTAAGAAAGGAATTTTATTTTTTTTCACTAAGTTCGTAAGTAAAATTTAGGACGGAATTTTGTTGAAATGTAACTTTCAGATTATCTATTTCTTTCTTGTTTTCAACCAAAATAAAAATAACGAACATATATTTTAGGTTTAATAACTTTACCATACTTACTCCATCAGTTTCTGTGTAAATAGTACCATTGTGTCTATAAAAAGAACTCTGGTGGTGCAAGCAAGCAATAGTTTTCTTAGATAAATTAACATTTTTAGGCATTTAAAACAACATGCCTGCCCGCACACGCAATTGCGTAAAATACTTGTCGAAAACACAATTATACTTCGACATGAAAACAATAGACAAAAACTAAAACTCCTTGAAGCATTATACATCAAACAGTTGAAACCCAACCTAAACAAAATTTATGGCATCTCTACAAATATTCTTAAATGTCTATAATTGGTTTACTAAGCCATTGGTTTTCCATACTTCATACTTCTTTTTCACTCACGTGGTTCGTCATGAGAATTCGCAACTAGCGTCTTATATGCGCGTGTTTTCGTTGCTTAGAAATCATTATATAAAAATTGACAGACTATATCACTGTCTTGTCCGTATATTTTAATATTTTGTAATTGACATCTTTGATAATGGCTTATGTAAACACAAAAATTTAGATTGTATTAAAAAAAATTAGGATATTATTGTGAATTTCTTTTTCGTTCAACGATAATGTTATTAAATTTATCAGACGTTAAAAAAAACATAAAAATAAATAGACAACACTTGTCTATATTATTTAATGAAACGTGTTAATATATATATATTTTATATATATATATATATATATATATATATATATAAGATGGCTATAAAAAAGAACTCTAGTGGTGCAAGTTGTTTTTCTTAAAATATTGAAATTTTATGGAAGTGGAATGAAATGATTTTTATACACTGAATTAATGATAATATCAATAGTTTTATTTTTTTCACATTAATAAATAAATTCTCTACGTGACGAATTTTGGTTTGTTTTACTTTTGTGTTTTTAAGTATTTGGAAATTCTTTCTTTTAATGCTATAGTTAATCCGATATGGGGTAATAATATCATTGAGAAATTTTGATAGTTGGTATATGCATGTTGGAATCTGAGAAATAATAGGTCATAATGGTTATCCCGGTTTGTGTGTTTAAACATTACCGTATAAGTAGCCAGGTTGGTAATCTCCAATAATTTTGTTTATTTTTAGGGATCCTGCAACAGAATTGTTGGATGTTAATATTAACATATTTCTTTAGAGATTATGTGGTTCTTATTCAATTTAGTAAATTTAGAACAATCGTCAATGAAAATGAATTTTTTGTGATAATCCAATCTCTTCACAATGACGTAAATATTGGATTTATCAGCTTTTCTGATAACTATATTAGGGTTGTTTTTTTTTTAATTCTTTAGCAGCAATTTGGAGTTTTCTTGGAATGTTCTTGTTTTTTATGTCGTGAAATATAATCTTTTAGACCTTCTACCTTGAGAAGATCTTTGAGGTTTGGATGGTGTATTATTAATTTGTCCTTTTCCAGTTGACATAATGATTGGTGTAAGATTTCAATTTCAGTCTTCTTTGTGAGAAAAATCGAATTTAGGTTGGAGATGGCAATTTGGCCCTAGATTTAGAAATTTCTTTTGATCACCAGTTAATTTGAGTGGATAGTTTTATATATACATACATAACAGCGTACTGACGATCCGTTAAATTAGGTAGGTCTGCGTCTTTAGTACTTAGATTTGTTAGTGTATGGAGCACTTTTGCATAGTTATTTTATTTTATCGTGTCGGAAATTTCTTGGACTTGAACATGGATTCTGGACTATTGTTTTCACATGTTCTTGTCCGTTATTTATCCTTAATTTTTAATTGTGTATTGGTTTGTTAATGACAATACAAACTAAGGTTTTTAGATTGTATTTAAAAAATTTATAAGATTAATATATATAATATATATATTTATATATTCAACGATATATATATATATATTATATATATATATTATATAAAAAATTATATAAAACGTTTAAAGTTTAACGTTTATTTTTAGATACATTTTATAAATTTAAGTAAATGCTTAGTTTATAATACATAGTATTAAATAACATTTACCGGCCTGATATATAGGATATGTATAGGATGCAGGTTCGAATCCTGTCAAAGGACGAATATTTTCTATGAAAATTTATCGGACATTCAGGCCGGTAAATGTTATTTAATACTGTTTATTATAAACAGAGCATTTACTTAAATACTTGTATCTATAAAAAGAACGTTAAACATAAAATAATATATATATATATATATATATATATATATATATATATATATATATATATATATATATATATATATATATATATATATATATATATGGATGTGCAGGTATATTGTCTTGTGCGTACTTTCTACCAGTATGGAGAGATTTCAAGAAACAAATATAGGAAGCTAAAAAAAAAAGGGTATAGCTCTTGCTTTATTTACAATCCAAACTAGTTAAATCACTTGTGTTCTCGTGCTACGATTTTTGTGTCACCTGCACGAATTGTTGGAATACACGGAATATAACACATGTCTTCTGTTAGTTTCCGCCTAGCATCAAACAACTTATACAAAAACCAGGCGAAAGTCAGTAAAATGATTAACAAACATTAAACAAAGGATTTCTGCATAAATACAGTTTAGATAGATAGATAGATAGATAGATAGATAGATGGCATACCAAATAATAAAGAGATAGATAGACAGATGGCATCCGAAATAATAGATAGATAGATAGATAGATAGATAGATAGATAGATAGATAGATAGATGGCATACTAAATAATAAAGAGATAGACAGATAGCATACAAAATGATATAGATAGATAGATAGATAGATAGATAGATAGATAGATAGATGGCATACCAAATAATAAAGAGATAGATAGACAGATGGCATCCGAAATAATAGATAGATAGATAGATAGATAGATAGATAGATAGATAGATGGCATATTAAATAATAAAGAGATAGACAGATGGCAGCAATAAATAGATATAGATAGATAGATAGATAGATAGATAGATAGATAGATGATAGATAGATAGATGGCATACAAAATAATAAAGAGATAGATAGATGAGATGGCATCCGAAAATAAAGAGATAGATAGATAGATAGATAGATAGATAGATGGCATATTAAATAATAAAGAGATAGATAGACAGATGGCATCCGAAATAATAGATAGATAGATAGATAGATAGATAGATAGATAGATAGATAGATAGATAGATGGCATACCAAATAATAAAGAGATAGATAGACAGATGGCATCCGAAATAATAGATAGATAGATAGATAGATAGATAGATAGATAGATAGATAGATGCCATACCAAATAATAAAGAGATAGATAGACAGATAGCATACAAAATAATAAAGATAGATAGATAGATAGGTAGAAAATATTTTGGAGAAAATCTAAAATGACCACAATTCGCCAGCATTTTACAAAATTTCTTATTTAGACATATCTGAAGATGTAGGATTGACCGAGAAATTTCCACCGCGACCTCGAATATATATATATATATATATATATATGTGTGTGTGTGTGTGTGTGTGTGTGTGTGTGTGTGTGTGTATAGATAGATAGATAGATAGATAGATTGAGACGGGTTTTAAATTTACCATATATGATTCAGTTGATATTTCTACTTTCTCAGCTTAAAATAATCCTCTGTCCTTGCTTTTGCAGAAACCAAGCTAAGAAAGACGGGATTATCTTATATCCTTACATTAAAAGTTAACTTACAAATACCCTTGATGGATGTAAAACCGTCAACATACTCTTAGACGAATGTTTATTGTTTTACGGAAAGATAAAAGTACAAATTCAACAGGAGCAGTGCACAATAAAATGTCCATCTGTTGTCCATCAAGCCGTTGGACCCACTTTTAAAACGATTCGCCAGTTTGGAAACCGAACATTAGACCCGGATCTTTTTTTTCAAGGCAACAATTCTGTTCACTTTCTTAATCCTTTCAACCCTAGCAAGGCAATAAAGCCCCTAAGACACACAGAGTTACTGATTGGGAAAGAATAAGTAAGAGAAACATTATTAAAGAGCGAGGACTATATCAGAAGAGGAATCTAGAAGACAGGAGAAAACGACTGACACTGCATTTAAATTTTTAAAGATCACGATTCGCTGAAAATCAAGAAGAGAGTTCCTCAAGCGAGAAGTGCGAGAGAAAAAAGCAATTAGCAAATAACTTACGGTTACATCTAGCCAATTCAACTGTAAATTGAGGAGACCTTATTGTCAATCTGATACTTCGCTTAAATTCATAAAGTCTAGGTAACATAGATAAAGGTTCATCAGAAAAATTATCATGAAAGAAAAAGCATAAGGAAGCTACATTACGGCGATGGGAAAGTGACTAAAGCCGAGATGCCAATCTGGACCAATAACATAGCAGATTCTTCTTTGGAGTTTATCAAATCTCTAAATATATACTAGGAGCACCAGACCATATGTGGCATGGACGAATGGTAGGTTTACAAATATTTGAGATAGACTCTGGAAAGAAGATTTGTCTATCACGCCACAGTTAACCAACTTTCCCAGACCTAGACCTAAAATTGATTCAATATAATCTTTCCACTTCATATCAACAGAGAATGTTAAGCCGAGATGGCGCCACGAGTTACTTTCAGATTAGCATCAGGTATGTTGACGGAACCCAAAAAGGGTTCTCTCAGATGATTAATAGAGAGCAATTTCATTTTGGAGGCGTTAAAATTGACCAGCCATTCCATGCCCCAGTTAACAGCAGACTGAATGTCATTTTTCAGATCAGCTGTCAATTCGATCTTATCGACACAGATTAGACTTAATATTAATGACATGGGAGTCATGTAATGACATGTGAACCATGTAATGACATGGGAGCTATGTAGCTTTCAAAGAATTTCTGCATAAATACTAGTCTTAATAGTGTTTAAAAATCGATTACATAATCCCATGTGGTTGACAGAGACCTATTCTTAATCTACAGCAGCTTTCTCACACACGCAATGCAGTGAGCCTATCGCTATACAATCACTACTTCCATGGCAAATATTCAGATGAGATGCATTCTTTAGTTCCACCAATTTACAGCTTGGGCGGGCCATGCTATTATAAAGAAGTCAAAACACACTGATTTCCTCGGTGTTCCAAAACTAAGGGGCGGAAGTTCCATTCAGATAGCTTTTGTTTTCTCAAGAAATAACATTTTTTGAAACAGGTTCCTGCATATGTGTTCTCAGTCAGTTATGTACCATGCGTGATGCACGCTTAGGCGATCATGTATCTTTCGATACACGACTGACGAGGCAGATTTGTTCCCGCAGTAGGTTGCCATTTTTTTCTGCGGTAGACCAGTTGGCATCCCAGACTATAGAACCCGGTTTGTTCTGCTATTTACCCATAGCTAGGGGAAGAAGAAGAGGATTCACACCGTTCCTAAGGTATTAGCACATAAGTGTGCCTTTTATGTGTGCTCTACTGAACTCGAAAATTTTAATCTCTTCATATCAAGGGCAAATTGTTATCGATCTTCCTTATCTTCCTCATAACCTTCACTTACTACTAACTTTCTTTCAAACCACACGCTTTAGACATTATTAACATGTTAACAGTAACATCTCTACCCGGAGTGCCTCTCGAGCCTTGTATAAAATTTTGAATTCAAATGCTAGAATCTATTCCTTTGTGGGTATTTGAGTATCTAGTTCTATATGAGTTTGTTTCCGATATCGCATAGATTCCTATTATGATTCCTTCCTTAGGTACCATGCGTGAAGTGGTAGGAACTTGTGGAGAGTCATGATCCCCCAATTTCTGAACGCATACGACACATGGAATATTTATTTCCTTGCATTGGTCTCATGAGTGATACATGATTGTGCGTTCATGTCGCTTTTCCCAATTGAATGTAACGATCTCGACCGGAATTCGAACACGACTCTCCGATTTCTTGTTCCGAGCCGTTATCCATTAAAACCCCACAAACCGAAGATGGCAGCATCTGGTATTCCCAAGTGGTCACCCATCTAGGTACTGACCAGTATCAGTGCTACTTAACTTCGGTGGACGGTTGCCTTAACGACCCTTTCACGATGAGAAATCTCGGAACATCTTCGGATCGTAGCAGCACCATGTCTTCTGCTGCCATAACAACAGTCGTATTTCCTGAGCAAGACACCCTGACAAAGACGAAGCCTCTCCAGGCAGGGTTTGAATTCAGAGCTTTCCTTCTCCTAGGCTGGTTGCAAAACCAAGACTAAATCTGTCCTGCTATTTACCCATAGTTGACGGTGAGGAGAAAGAGATGGATTCATATACATTATTTACATTATTAAGACTACTGTCCACGTCTTTTTCGCCATATTTATTACAACGTTTCGTCCGTTGTACTCTCCGGCCGTCTTCAGGTGGTTGGAATGTCGAACTGAACCCTTTATTTCGCTCAATGGGGTAGACTGTTCTAGTTCCACTTGCTATGTTTAATGGATGTCAGTTAATTTCCCTCTGAAAGATTTCCACTGCCTTAGCCGGCTATTGAACTCACACTCTTTGGGTTTTGTCACGACTTTATCCACTGTGCCATATGTATTATAAACCTAATTTCTTCAGCAACCATTTTTTTTACCAGAGTTCATATTGTAATTTTTGTTGTTATTTTTAAGGCAAGGCTTCAAGAACACCAGAAAATTGTAACACGAGGGGAAGTGGAAAAATCAGGCGTGGCTGACCACATATGGAGAGAGAAGGGAGATCACCGGCCTCTGTGGGATCAAGTTGAAATCACAGACAAAGAGCACCATTGGAAATTTTGTAAAGGAATAAGCACATATGCTAGGCTACCTGAGCCGACCAAGCATATAAATAAATACAATATGGGAACCAGTAATAAGGAGTGCCAGAGAAAAGCGATAATAATGACAAAAATTGCAATATGAGCTCTGGTGAAAACATGTAATGACAACAGCAAAAATTGCAATATGAGCTCTGCTAAAAAATGGTGGCTGAAGACATTAGGTTTATAATACCCAGAAATTCATACACAGATGTCCTCAAGGACACATGGCACAATGGATAAAAGCGTTGGTTAGATCCAGTGACAGGACCCAAAGAGTATGAGTTCAATGATTCTTCAATCCGAGCCGCTATCCATTATTTCAACATTCCTATTGACCATAAAAATTAAAGGATTCCTTGCGAAAAATCCGAAAATATCTTACCAATATTGGAAACAAGATCATTCTGTAACGTACATTGAAATAACTCGATGCAATCGATTCTGGTTTAAAATGATGCAGGCTATCTCACCAAATGCTGCAATCATTTCGACAGGAGAAATATTTTTATTTTAATGAGGAAAAGAAATACAGTTAGTTTTTTTACTGAACTATGTATTTTCTTTTAGATGAAAAAAAAAGAATATTTAGAGAGAATTTGTTTTCTCATCAATCATTACTGATTTCCAAATACTGAAAGAGAATAAAATAAAATTTACATTCATATATATTTCATAGACTTTTGTTATCATAAAGTAATGACATGAAATTTCTTTCTACACCGTTAAAATTTGAACTCTGTTTATTTCTGTTTTTCATTCATTACTAGAGAGAGAACCTCTTCAAGGATGATTGTGACTGAAAGAAGTCGTTGCATTTAGATAATGGTTTGGAACCCAGTTTGAGAATCGAAGAAAAATTCGATAGATTTAAGTACTATCACTGAAAACTCTATTTTTTTTGTACAAAATCGGCTCACACAGAAAGTAACACGTTTAAATTTTTACACTGACCGACTCACACAGTAACTATATTTTTGTGCACCGGCTCCAATAATTTATTGATTATTATATGTGGGGGGCATTTGAGCGAGAGAACAACAAATCTAGTTGTAACCCCAAAGACGAACCGAAAGTATAGATTGTGGCAGCATTCACGAACAAGGGGACCGTCCAGATAAGATTCTGAAGTAGTCTGGAGGCCGGGGGTTGAAACCAATGGTGATTATATTGAATAAATGTACTATTTAGTATTTCAAGATTTTTTTTGTGTGTGTGTGTGTGTGTGTGTGTGTGTGTGTGTGTGTGTGTGTGTGTGTGTGTGTGTGTGTGATTTTGGTAAATATATCTGTTAAAATAAGATACCAGTTTTATTTTTTATTTTTGCATCATTTAGACGAAAATTTATACATCGCACCATGTAGATAGACATAAATAGCGATAGATAGATAGATAGATAGATAGATAGACAGACAGACATAAATACAGATACATAGACATAAATATAGATAGATAGATAGATAGACATAAATATAGATAGCTAGCTAGCTAACTAGATAGATAGACATAAATACAGATAGATAGACATAAAAATAGATAGACATAAATATAGATAGATAGACAAACATAAATATAGCTAGCTAGCTAGCTATCTAACTAGATAGATAGATAGATAGATAGATAGATAGATAGATAGATAGATAGACAAAAATATAGATAGACATAAAAATAGATAGACATAAATATAGATAGACATAAATATAGATAGAAAGACAGACATAAATATAGCTAGCTAGCTATCTAACTCGATAGATAGATAGACAATGGACATATTTAGATAGATAGATAGATAGATAGATAGATAGATAGATAGATAGATAGATAGATAGATAGATAATGGACATAGATAGATAGATAGATAGATAGATAGATAGATAGATAGATAGATAGATAGACAAAGATATCGATAGACATAAAATAGATAGACATAAATATAGATAGACATAAATATAGATAGATAGACAGACATAAATATAGCTAGCTAGCTATCTAACTAGATAGATAGATAGATAGATAGATAGATAGATAGATAGATAGATAGATTGATAGATATATAGATAATGGACATATTTAGATAGATAGATAGATAGATAGATAGATAGATAGATAGACGAACATGAATAGACCAAAATAGATGCTATCCTTAACTTGAACATCAATTCCTCATGCAAAAAAGATATATTTTGTATTTTATGCATTTCATTTATCACGAATCAACTGTTCTTAGTTATCTTTTCACATCTTCCAACATCCGTCTTTCGTTCATACTCGATAATATTGCATTATATATATATATATATAAATATATATATATATATATATATATATATATATATACATATACATGTGTCCTTGTGTCTGTGCATGTATGCATCAGTATGAGTGCGTGTGTATGTGTGTGCGTGTGAGTGTGTGCAATATATATAAATCTGTCAAAATAATTGATGGTAAACAAATAAAATTGAAAAACATTCTTAGTACCGCGTTTTATTTCGAGATGGAATCTCTTTACTAATGATTTTATCAATGGATTCAGTCTTTCCGTACGAGGTCTGATTTAAAAAAAAAAAACACCGGGACTGTTTCTTTGGTAATGGAGTTAGAGTAGGCAGATTGATTGATTTTCATCTCTGTCGTGTATACACATAACGGTATAACGTTATCGGTAACTTCCGTTGTGTGAAGAAAAGTGTTTAGAGTGTAGTCGTATCACGACACCACCCAGGTCCAATTTGTGACTATGGGATGTGCAGTAGTTGCTGACCAAGCACAGTATTTTCCAGGTCAGACCACCACTGTATTCCCCGGACCACGTTCATTGTGACATTTTCCTCTTCAAAAATCAAATCTAGCTTGAAAGGAACAAGATTTCAAGACGTCGATGAAATCCAAGAAATTGAGACGAGGCAGCTGCTTGCTGCCCCACAAAATACGAGTTCCAGGAAGGCATCCATCAATTGGAACGATGCTGGATAAATTGTGCGGCTCCAGAGGGGACTACTTTGAAGGAGATTAAATGGTGAATTGCTATGTGTTGTAGTTTTCTTTTTATGGAAGCAGTCCCGATACTTTTATCAGATCTCGAAGATATATATATTTCATTATATATATATATATATATATATATATATATATATATATATATATATATATATAATGAAATTAAGAGCTGGTTCCACACTCCGCAAAACCTTCTCATCTGAGACCTTGCTGCCGGATGTAGTTTATCGTCATACCCAGGACGGGTCGATATCATGTTACATATCGTTATACATCGTTAGCAATAGCCTAAACATAAGTGTCCATCGCATATCAAATAATCAAAATTATAGCATAAATTTTTACTCTCTCCATAACTTCAAAATATAATCTGCAATAATCACCGGATTCTCAGAATTTACATGAAGAGAAATACATTGAAAATACTTTTAATAGAGTGACTGCCAACCATGATTTAACTAATGCATTTAATGTGTTGCTTTGTAAAAGTTCCCTTTTGTGTTCATATAATGATTTATTTAAATTTAATACTTTTCTACTATTTACATGTTAAGGAGAATATATTAAAATACTTTCAAGCTCCTCCCATACACTAAATACTTCACATTCAAAACGAAGCAAGAAGTCTCATAAAATGATTTAAAATAGAATTGTTGACTCACCTGAAAAAACCCAACGAATCAAAGTATATTGTTCTACCCACTAACTCTATCACAACTACAACTGAAAAGAATTTATCTAGACTCAACATAAAATTTGTTACAACTACTTCTAAAAAAAATTTAAAAAACTTAATGCAAAATAAAATAATAAGAGCAAACGAAATTAACTTAATTACTGCAATAACTGCTACAAATAATAGATAGGAGAAACCTCAAGGAATTATAATAAAATATTATACTAACACAAGAGGAGTCTTTTTCAAAACAACACACTAAATGCATTAGTTACTCATCGTATTGTGTTTGGTCGTGATCATGATTTAAAAATTCGACTCTAATGAAAAGAGCAAGTAATTAAGGAAGGTGTAAATATTAGGAATATGCGTAAATCTCTAGATCATCCACAAGATTTACGTCCATGTTTTTACATTTCACTTTTCTGGGCAATGAGAGATATTTAATAACGAAAGTGGTAGAAACATGAACAAAAACGAAATTTAAATTTAATTGGCTAGACAGTATACCTAAAACATATATGATACATATATGCAATGATAACAGCAAAAATTGCAATATGAGCACTGGTAAAAATGATGCTGAAAACATTAGGTTTATAATACTCAGAAGTTCATACCCGGATGTCCTCAAGGACACATGGCGCAGTTGGTTAGATCCAGTGACAGACCCAAAGAAGGTGAGTTCAATTCCTGGTTAAGGCAGTCGAGAACTTTCAGAGGGAAAATTAGCAGGATCAATCAAACATGGCACGTTGAATTAGAAACGTTGTGACAAATATGGCAACGAAGATGAGGACAATAATGTAAATACTGTAAAACATATATCTTGAAAAGAAACTTAAATTCGAAATGTCTCATTTCTCCTTTGCGCATCCGATTAAATTCTTAAGCACGAAACGTGTCGCGCGAAAAAATTTTCACTTTGTAATATTTTTTCTCTATAGATAGATAGATAATGAACAAAATTAGATAGATAGATAGATAGATAGATAGATAGACAAGGAACAGAATTAGATAGATAGATAGATAATGAACAGAATTAGATAGATAGATAACGAACAGACTGAGATAGATAGATAGATAATGAACAGAATTGGATAGATAGATAGATAGATTCACTCACTATTATTTTAATATCGGAAAACTAGACATAACCGCAAGTTCTATGCCCGCAGTTTTCATTTGTCACAATTGTCGCTCGCGGAACGCTGTTCCGGCTTTTTCCTTTCCGGTCAATTTTGATGTTCAAAAATTTTATGCACAATGTCAATCGTTATCTTTTGTCTTCTTAATGCATGTTCTTTTCTTAGTTGTTCCCTTTAATAATAATTTTCTTTTTCTTAAATCCCTCCAACACAGTAAGCATTTGCGTATTAGTGGTTTTATTGCCTTTCTTGTAGTGAAATGATTAAAATGTACTTCTTCTCCTTATCAATTTCTATCAAGTATCAATTTGCAACTTGCATAATATTTTTTTTTTTGGCTTTTTGTAATTTTAAAAATATTTTAATCTCTTTGTACTGCAAGTGAAAATAAATAAATACAATACAATTAAGAATTTCTTAAAACAGCCATTTCACTACAAGACGTAGGAGATCATAGCTCTCCACATTTTCCTTTTTCTTTACTAACTGTTAATTTTCCAGGAAATATAATAAAATGAAATTTCAGTTTAATTTCGGTTGTTGTTCTATTAGACAGTTTATGGGCCAAGGCTGTTTACCTTTGCACTGTTAGCAGAAGAGATGGACCTATGCTTTTACCCAGATCATTTGAGTGAAAGTGAACGCAATAGGACATGCTAGAATTAGAACGCAGATCGCCGAGTTTACTTTAGACGCTGTTTATCGTTACATTAGCGTTTAAAAACAAAATTTTAAAAGAAATTTTCAAATTTAGAAAGAAGTGCTGACATTTAATTACTGAGTCGTAGTTATAGCACTTGAAGTTGCCTCTTTTGATTACATATAAATAAAATTAAATCGATTTCTAGTTAGTGCTGATTAGCGTCTGTTAGTTTTATAAAACAACTAAAAAAAACACGAGAAAGAAAAAAAACTGTAAAGTAGTTGAATTTGGTTAGTAACTGTCGCGTTAATGACGAACAAAAAATTATTCTGTTCGGAGGAAGGCAAACACGTCTGTGTCAATAGATACACCATTTGCTTCACACTGATGGGCTTTTAAACTGGTTGACTTTTCTTCGTTAGGTCACAAACCTTCGCTCTTAGCATACATTGTGGAAACGGGTAAACAAAAAAAAAGCTTACTGCTAATTAATTTGTTTTAATTCAAGTAAAGTCAGCATTTATTAGTTAAAGATTTGCGAAAACTAACCAAGATGAAACCAACGAAGGAGAAGGCGGTTTTTATAGAATACTTCTCAATCAAATCATTTAAGAAAGTAAAATATTATATGAAACGGTAACTAGGGTCCAAAATAAACCTTACGGTTAGATTCGTAGATATACTGTCCTTTGTCCTATTCCCTTCAAGTAGATAGCCAGGCCGTGCAAAATACACGGCGTTAGGTTCGATCACGGGTTCCTGCAGTTAATCTCTATTCATAAAGAAAACATTTCCTTTAAAAAGAGAAGAGAACGTATAACTCAGTATTTTTCAAGCTTTTTGCTGGAGCGGAACCACAAGGAAACATACCAGTGGCTCGAGGAAACCCTGCTATAAATTAATTGTCTTATGCAAAAAAAAAGCTTTTAATTATTAAAATAAAATAAAAATACTCATCTTCAGATTTATTTACAAAAAAATACAAAGACAAACTGTAAAAATATTGTATACGTCCATATGCAATTTTAATCTTGCTTCTATGGTTATCACACATGTATTAAAAAAACTTCAGTTTAAATGGATTACATTTATTTTCATTAAAAATTCAATGAGAAACTTGAGCCTGATGTTTCTTGCACAAATCTTTAATATTGGGTTGTGTTTTTGACAGATACACACAAAGTTCATCTTCCACACATATCTGCACAGGAGAATTAAAAATTACTGTCAATCATAGTACTTGTGTAACCTCTTTGCGGAACCCCTGGGCTTTACTGGTGGAACGCAAGTGTTCTGCGGAAACCTGGTTGAAAACCATTGGTATAACTATTTAGCTTTGATCGTCTCCTTTACACCGTATCAAACACTCGGCATCAGGTTCGATCCTGACCTCCAGCAAGCGAAGAATTAGTCGGTGTTACAGAAGATCACGTCTGTAGTCAACTGACATAAAGTGAAACGACTACATTGAATCCATTGCTCGGCCAGCTGCGGAAAAAAGGGGGTTCACTCTGTCGCGCAAGAAATTTTTTTCTCCAGAATCTATCTTACATATTTATAAGTCTACTATTTCTCCATGCTCAGAATATGCTTCCACATATCGTCCTTGCTATTTACATTGAGCTCCTTGATAAAATCCAAAGAATGATCAGCAATATTATCGTTCCTGATCTGGCTGCTCGGCTTTAGTCATTTTTCTAACCGCCCTAAGGTTGCTTCTCTGTGTCTTTTCTATAAATATTTTTATGGGAATTATTCTGATGAGCTCTTCGATATGGTAAATAGTTTTTGTATTCATATTGTAAATACTCATTAGGGCTAGCTTTTAGAATTGTTGTTTTATCTCCCCCCACAGACACTGAATTGTAAATATGGGGACTAGTTAGTATTTTCATAGAGACAAAGAGGTATTATGGTGATTGCAGTAAGAAAGGTACGTATGAATGTGTTGTTTTGGTGTCAGGAATATTGTTCGTACGATTGGGTCAGTGTTTGTGGCTAGCTAAGTTATAATTAAGACAGAAAAAGACCGTCTTTTCCCAATCCCCTTTTCGGCCTTGTGCCACATTTCTGTATTAAACAGAATAAATATCACTCTTTGTTATGGTACCTAGAACTTTTTGAATTTAAGCGCAGCACTAGACTGCCATCGAGATCTCATCAGTTTACAGTTACGACTAGATGAAGCCGTAAGTTCTATACTAACAGGTTCTTTTCTCATACCTCTCGCTTGTGGAACTCCCTTCCGATTCTATGCTTTCCAGCCAAATTTAATCTGCAAAAATTTAAATGCAATGTCAGTTGCTATCTACTGTCCTCCTGATTACTCTTTTCTCTTCCCGCTCATTATTAATATTTCTGCTTCACTTCCTGTAAACCCTTGAGTCTTAGTGGCTTTAATACTTTACTTATACCGATTAAAAAGTTAACTTGTGATTGTAATGGGATTTTTCCTTTATAAAAAGCAGAAAACAGCGCGTTTCATGCTCATACCTGCATTACCATGATCGATTATCCGTATCTCTGTTCACGAGTAACGAATTTGCTGAGAGATCTGTTAAGCTATGATTAACCTTACTAGATTGGTTGTGTGCAAGCAATAACGTAACGGTAGATTCGTTAAAGATTTCAAAATATACATTCAGGCTTTGAAACTCTTCTACTCAGATAAAAGAGAATACATCTCCGATTCCCTTCGACAGAAAAATTTGATCTCTAGATCGGTTTTGTCATATTTGGGAGTGAGCTGCCCTGGTAGTCCGAGTCCTCGTTGATGGCGAATTATTTTCCACCGTCCAATTACCCTCTCAAAGGAACAATGTGGCAAGACTCTCCATCAATCAGTTATGTGCTATGCGTGATAGATGCTTAGGCGATTATGTATCTTTCAATACTTGACTGACGAGGCAGATTTTTTCCTGCAATAGACCAGTTGCCATCCAAGGCTATAGAACCCGGTCTGTCCTATTTACACATAGCTGGGGGGAAAAAGAGAATCCATACCTTTCCTAAGGGTATTAGCACATAAGTGAATGTAATTCGAACTCGGCTCTCTGATTCCTCAATCCGAGCTGCTATCCATTACTCCACCGTGCCCCCTTGAGTCAGTTACATGGCATTCGTGATACACGCTTAGGCGATCATGTATCTTTCGATACATGACTGACGAGGCAGTTTTTTTTTCTGCAGTAGGTTGCCATTTCTTTATGCGGTAGACCAGTTGCCATCCAAGGTTATAGAACCCGGCCTCTGTTGCTATTTACCCATAGCTTCGGGAGAAGAGGATTCATACCTTTCCCATAGTTATTAGTATATTAGCGAATGTTACGGATTCGACAGGAATTCAAACTCGGCTCTCCGATTCCTCAATCCGAGCCGCTATCCTAAAGTGCGCGGACGAACTTCATTCATTGGTTTTCTCAGTTCTAGCCTTCACAGCAAGGATCCGCACTTTACAATAACGCAAACCACCCAGCTTCCCTACGTATTCCATTGGTGAATACAGCTTCATCCTGTGAATCACTGCGCTGTGGGACGGTCTCCCAAGAGAATGTTACCCGATCACTACAATTTTCACCTGTTCTAGTCAAGGATTAACGTTATCTTCTCTGTTTATTTAGATATAGTAAAATTGGCGTTACGTCCACACAACCCCTTACAGAATTATCAATATTCAATTACAAACTTAACCCGATAATGTGTATATATATATATATATACATACACATATATATATATATATATATATATATATATATATATATATATTATAAATTAACTGATTTAAAATATGTTTTTTCGCTACACACTAATAACCATGTTTCAAAAATGGAAGCTGAAAGCTACGAATTTAATTTTGTAATTAAATTAAAAATATTAGTTCCATTTCATCCTCAAGCGAATTTTGGAGTAACTTATTAAATTTACTGAGTTTTAAAGGCACTGAAAAATTTATAATTCACTGTTTTCAAGGACACAGAGAGATCCAATCATTCAGACAAGGGGTGGTAGCGTGTTCATTTTTATTAACATTTGTTGTATTAGTTACGTTCGAAAAAGGGGTTATGTTTAGTTAGGGGTAGGGATGTATTTTTCAACGAATTTTGACATCCGTTAAATGCATGTTGTCTGGCTTTTTTTTTTAATTTTATTGTTAACGGCAAAGATTCCTACGGCATTTATTCTATTTGTAAGATTTTTGGGGGATGTTTAGGTTAGAATACGTTTTATTTAACTACAATTTTAAAATATTTTCACTTTTAATTTTTTAATAGACTATATTCCATTTCATATAAGTAAATGTACTAGAATTACTTACAGTATATAAAAA